AGTAGTTGCTAGCATCGAATCTAAAGTCAGACCCAGTGTCACCTTTGCATCGCCTACAGAACAAAACCCTGACGGAGAGTTTACGTGGCCTAGCACCTCAAGAGCCTCAGCCTCTCCAAGTTCCCATTTTGCTATAACTTCCGAGTCTTCGAAACGCTTTCAGCTGGAATGGATCAGCAGCTCGGTCTGACCCAATCACGTGTTCGCTTGTTGGAACCTGATTGCGCCCCAAGCCATGCAAAACCAAAATCGGAGCCCCGAACACCCAGTCGCTGTACGGGGCTCGGTTCCCTTATGTCCCCATCAAATGCCCTTGCTTTGTCTTGCAACAGCGTAACAGTGTTTTGCGGAAAGCCGTTTGGATATCTGATTCGCAGTTTTTTTTGCTTATCCTTGTAACGCCTTTGGGGTAGCTGCTAACAGTTCTCATCAGATCTCATAAGTTGCCCGCACCCGCTTGCCCGAAGTCCTCTTGCATGTCAGGTCGAAGTTCGCCAAGAATGCACCAAGAGTTCCACGATGGCTTGTCAGGGACACAGGGCTTTGCCATCCACACAATGCTAACTTGGATCTGCAATGCCGAGGGAATAAATCATGGACAGCATCCATCGGAAAGCGGGTAAGATTGGTTTTGAAACAGGGCCCTGACAGATATTGCAAGTCACCAAGGCCTGAAGCCAGTGGCACGCATTAAGCGCAGGGCTTTGAACCTGACCTCAACACTCGGCAACTTCTTGTACTTTGGGATCTTCTGCTTTTGCAGGAACTCGTGCAAATCCCTGGCGCCAGCTGAGGTCGGCTAAAATTGAGCTGGCATGAGGTCGGTAAAATTGAGCCGGCATGGAAGAGGGATAGAAAAAGCCGCCCCGCACAAGGCCTGATGCTTGGTTAGACGTTCGGGTCGGAATTACCCTCAATAAGCAAACCAACCACCGCTGCCTGAATGAATTGATCACTCGTCAACTGTTAACCGTGTTGTTTGCATTGGCGCCGGCGTTGGCGCATGAAGGGCTGGGGAGGGGGGCATCGACATTGTAAGAACTTGACCAAAGTTCCGATATCATGCCAATATCTCCGCTAAACAAACATAACTAAAAACTACCTGGTAGCAAGCCCTTGCCTTTCAGCCGCCCCCCAGTGCTGTTGCCCAAACTTATAGCGTCACAGCATGCCAAAAGCCACGTGCCTTTTGCTTCAGCATTGTCCGGACCCCTGCGTCCTATGTGCGCCCAAAAAAAGCAGGTAGGAACGGGCCTTTCTCCGAAAACCAAGAGGCATGCCGTGGCCAGCCTGCACAGGCTATCAGGATGATCCGCGCCACAGCGGATACACCTCCCGTGGACACAACCGCAAGACCAGGGCCACAGCAAGCCGTGCCAACTCCACGATACATCCACCGCACTGCAATTCCCGTACACATGGTCTGGTGGTCTGCAGGATGCGGTGTGGGATTTCCATGGCGCAGGGCTGAACGAAGCGGGCATCTTGAAGGTACATTTGTTGGACCAGCGTCCCGGTGACTTGGCGCCATGTCCCTGGCGCAGGCTCCCGGCCTGGAAGTCGCAGATGGCAAATGCCCTGCCAGGGCCATCACTTGGTATGGGAAAGCACCGTCCATGCCGCTGCTTTGCGTCCCGCTTTGGGGCAACTAAGGCCCGAAGACATTGACAGGTCTTCAGGCTGGCCAGCTTTAAGCGCCTCAATGGTACAAGATCGAGGAAAATAAGTTGACAGTGTGTTCAACTCTGACTCGCCAACAGGGTTTGCCACATTGTGATTTGTACCCATGACCAAGCCCGCCCTGCAAAGCAAGCCACAAGCAGTTGCCGGGGAAAACCAGGCATGCATTCATCTCGGCACAATCCTATTCTCAAAGTCCTCCAAACGGAGTATCCTTTCAAGCTATGCTTTGGGTTGCGTGGGCTCCCAAGCGCAGGCACCACATTCAGAAAAAGCGGCCGCACCTTCGAACTGGGGTCCGAAACTTCAGGACAGGAAACAAAACACACCTAGCAGAAACAGCAGCCAAACAGAATGCAACATCTAACGCATCAACATCGGTGGAGTCTTGCAGCATACACTCGGCTGCATGACCATGGTCGCTTGCACTCAGAATTGGCGAAACAACCTGTGAGGTATCTCGGCTCGTTGAAACCCCGCACTCGTCCACTCCACACCTGTCTTCAGGGAACGCTCCAGCGCCCGCATCTTCGACAGGGACCGCTCCAGCGTGCGCATCTTGGACCTGGACAAGTGGCTTGAAAATCTTGGGCGAAAACCCGGCACTGGGAGTGGTCCAAGCCGAAGGAACTGCGCACGCTAGCCTCAAAGTCATGATTGAGACTATCTGAGCAGTGTTTCATCACAGCAAGCACCTGGACATGAACACTTCCAAGTCACCCACTTGCCCGGTTGTCTAAATACTCCACCTCTAGCAAAATCTACAAGACATGACCGCACAGAACTCATGGTAAACATGAACCTGTCGATCACACGCTCATCTGCTGTCGGGCTTCTGTTTGTTCTAGCGCACGGTCTCTCTCAACTAATCAGCTGATCGACGCATCCAAATCCTCCTAGATGTGCCCACAAGCGGCATTGATTCACCCGAGTCTGATGGAATTGAGCTGTTCTGCCCGCCTGGCGTGAGGGCCATCCTCGGCAACGGCCTGGCAGATTCGCAAGAGATGCTCCCTCCAGGCCTCTTCCTGCGCCAACAACAGAGCGGAGAGAAACTTGCGCTAAGCCTTTTGAACCAAATTACAACCATAAAGCAACCTACAGTAGCAAACTGTTAAACAAACACGCCCCACATCTAATCATGATTGGTTCCCTGACTAAATGATTTGATAGTTTGGCCGAGGAGCAAACTGGCTGACCAATTGCCTAGCCAAACTGAATGACTGAATGACCTTTTGGTTTGTTGATTGTGCTCCTTCTGACTAGCATGCAAGTTCTGTCAACAAAAGCAAAGCATGACTCCAGAGTGAAACCCTGGATCACAGAAATACACCCGAAGCCACATGAGCTGACCTGAAGCCGCCGCAAGCACCATGAGTCAACGGGTGGCGCCGATGTGAGTCAACTCTGCCAGCCTTCTCGGGCGCCTGGTCCGTGCAAATGTCCGGAGCCACTTCAGAAACCGACAAAGTACCAGCAACTCAACCACTCTTTCTCAGTACCTGCATATTATGAAAGCAACTCAGCACGGTCATGAAATTCGCACACAAACTAGACTCAGGGTCGCCGAACAGCCGTTGGGTCGCGCTTGATCCCTCACCGCTCACACCTTCATGCAGTTCACATGCCTCCAAGGGCGTGCATCATGAGTGTAATTAGCTTGGTTTGATGGATGTCATAATGTCCTCACCGGCCATGCTTCGTGAACCATGTTGCTTGTGCTGCTCTTTTTGCAACATGAGCTGGGCTTGGCAAGAACGCCCTTAAAGACAAGCTAGCGAGACTCCACAACATGTTTTGTGCCATCCGAGCGGAGTAACAGTTTGATAGCCCCAAACAAAATGCATTGCGAGTTGTGCGTGACAAGTCGCTCAAAATGAGTTTTCCTCGCTGAAAACTCGTCGAGCTAAGGGTTGCTCCCACGAAACGGGAGTAGCTTCACAGACAGTCTGCCACGAGATCTTAATTTGAAAAAAAAAAACAAGCCTTCCCCTGCACCCAGGTCCAGGTGAATCAAAGCGCAAGCTGTACAGCGCCGCTGGGGCATACTTTTGGGCGGGCCAAGCATTGCAGGTCTTGGCTGAAACTACAGCTTTGCCGCAAAAATGGGCAGAGCTTGTGGCAGTTGCTGAGCCTGATTGCGCTTTCTTGAGCTGCTTGCAAGGCGAATGCTTAGACTGGGGTCTCAAACATTCAGCATGCTTTCACCATTTCTGACGTGGGAAAGGCCTTTCCCAGGCACAATCTTTGATAGCTTCGAGTACTGTCCAGCCACGATAAATAACATACCCTTGGAAAAAAAAGCAAATTATGCAAATCCCAAAACTAAACAATCCAATAACCATAAACAAAGCTAAAGTGTTTGCCCAAAAACAGTAGTTGGACCGACCCCAACTCTATTCTTTGAAACCCAGTCCAGCCCTTCCCACATGACTGGGCCCCACTGCACCCAACAAAAAAACACATTTTGCTGTCCGTCTTCATGACGATTTCTTTGTTTACAAACCGTCTCAGAAAACATCCTAAAACAATCAGCCAAGGGCACCCACCCCCAACAAAGTCATCTGCACTAATCAATCAATACCTGAAAGCTAAGGGTGTGTTGCACCTAAACTTTTAACATTGCGAACCCCTTTTGATTCCAGTTTCATTGCTGTTTTTCATTGATGACGCCAACCAAAATCAACATGTTGGACTTCATGTTCATGATGGTTTCTTTGTGTGGAACCTTTGCAAACAACATGTCCAAGCAATCAGCCAAGGTACCCCCGACCCCATAGAGTCATGGGTCACTTCCTGGAAATGGATCCAAATAAAGCCATGCGCAAATAAGGTTGCCCCCTGTAAAAAGGGTATTGCGACAAAGGTGACCCGTGATCCTGCATGAAATCTGATGATCTGGGTCACTTTGTAAAAATGTGATTCCCAATGCGGAAACATATTGCCAAACTTCCTGAAAACTGACCGTAGCACTACACAAATCAAGCAATGTCACTTCAAAATCTAAACTGGAGAAACACCGTCTTTTACGGGAGTTGAGGAGGGTGGGAATTAGGTCCTTACAGCTTGCAAGGCACTGGCAATCAAACATGGCGCCACTACCACGAGGGCCACACAGTCCGCGGCCAATTAGTTTGATCCTGACAAGAGGCAGAGTGAGCCTCCTGAAACCATGGCCTTGCCTTGGGGATGCAAGCCGCAGGGGCGCGGATAGACTTTCTAGTTGGCAATGTGAGACCCGCTGCCGCCCTTGCAGCTCGAGCAAACCGTAGCAGGAAGCCTGGAAAACAAGCTGCAAGGAGGCAGCCGTCTGGTGGTCCTCACTCGGAGTTGTGCTGGCGTTTGTAGAGAAGCTTGTAGCTTTTGCTCAGGCCCCTGGCCAGACCAAAGGCCAACAAAGAGCCGAAGACCAGATGGCCTGCCGCTGCCAGGCCTTAGATGGGACGAAGGCTAGTGACTCAAACATCTTCAAATCAAAAACTGCCCCGCTTTCCGCCAGACATCCTTCCTACCTGGAACCTTGCGGGCCTCTCAATTGGCCCCCTCGTCTCATGAGTTTCATGTTGCGGGTGTGGTTGGATACGCGACTAGTCCAATTCAGCCACATCCTGGCTGGTTAAGTGGTGCTTGCTCACGCCAGCGTTCCTTCCAACATGAATGTTTCTCCAAGCCAGTGCCACGCAACAAGCCGGGTGCCCAAACCAAATTCTAAAGGGACTAGGTGATGGCTCTAAGGTGGCTTGGCGCCTCTTGTTGGCAAAGCAAGATTGGGAAATTGCCGGTATCAAAGTTTCGCTGAACAAGGGCCGCAACTCCTAGCCGGTTTCTCTCCCTTGGCACCTCTGCCCAGTGTCACAGCAAACGAGAATAGATACCCCCTTGTGTCTGCAAAGTGAGTCTCGCATGCACTGATTCGAGCTGGGCTGCCTCCACCCACTGCGACGGCGGCGACTGCCCTGCGATGGCCGTCAGTCCCGTGGACTGCAAGAGGCACAAAGCACTGGAAAGGTTGTGGAAACCACCGGGCCTGTTGACACAACTTGTGTTCCTTCAGAACCCTTTCTTTTTGCAATCAAAGCGTCCGGGATGTAGGGATGTAGCGTTGTTCGCATTTGGCGCAGCCTGTGTTGCTCAAAAAACATAACGCAAAAAGGCTCAATTCACTACTCAGGCCAAGCAAGGCAAACCCACCGCCTGAAAACAGGCAGGTGTTCATACAGTGCTGGGCGGGTGCCCGCGAGCGGATGTGCTCATCGTTTGGCATTCGAGGCTGCTGTGCTGAGCAGGTGGGCTTCTCGCTTTGCAGGTATGTCAAAGTTGATAAACTGCCTCCGCGGAAATCCGCTGGATCGAAGTATTGAACGCCTGTGAAGTCTGGAAGTGCGCTTTGCTCTGTCCGTGCCATTGGGGAAAGCACGCCGCTGAAGAATGTGCGTTCTGCCTGTAATTAACAGCCAACAACAAACAAACATCTGCCCACGAAGTAATCACGAAGGTCAAGGTCCAAAGGTCCAACCGAGAGCATCTGCATACATCCTGGTCTGGTGCAGTGATCAGGAATGCCAACATCCGCTCCCCCACACCCGAGACCCCAAGAAATGCAAACAGCGCATGACACATGAGCGGCGCCCCCAACATAAACAGTTGTACACACACACACACAGCCGTATAAGGTTCGCAAACGCGCCCGCAGTATGTCAACTAAAATGTGTGTTTCTCAGCAGGGTAGGTATTCATCCCGTCAGGCACTGCGTACAGAAGCGACCGCCACACAACCCACATGGACAAACCTCGACGTGCTTCCTTCATAAACCTGCAGTACAATGACAAAGCATGACTGCGATTCAAGCTTGAGCACGGCTCTTCCCGTTCTGGATGCTGCAGCCACCCAGCTTCGTTACAAATGCGTTGATAACAGGATGTCTGGGAACATGTGGTGGCCAATTGCTTGGTTGACCTGGATTGCTGGACGTGGCATAGCTGTTGCAATGCTTGTTGTTGCAACATCGATTCTGCCTCCCTGGCAGCAGGACAAGACCTGAGCCCCGCGTAGAAGGAACAAACATGCAAAACAGGCCATATGCAGGGCTTCTTGATGCACACAGGACGTGGACTCATTGGACGCCATCTTCTCGTTTATATAGTCTCCTTGAGTCCTCGTCGAAGTCAACCCTGCAAGGCGCAGCGGGCATGCCATGCTTCAGAATGCAGGTGCAACGATCCGAGCATGGCGACATCCCCCAATGTGATGGAAGGATGGATGGACGGATGGACGGATGGACCGATGCATGCATGCCCCCATGGATGGGATGGATGGATGGATGGATGGATGGATGGATGGATGGACGGATGGACGGATGGACGGATGGACGGATGGATGCATCCATGGATGCGATGGATGGAGGGATGGAGGGATGGAGGGATGGAGGGATGGAGGGAGGGAGGGAGGGAGGGAGGGAGGGAGGGAGGGAGGAAAGGGAGGAAAGGGAGGGATGGAGCGACCTGCAGGGCTCTGCGGCCCGTGGAAACTGTCCCTCCCGCCATCGCAGGGCAGTCTCCGATACACGTCATCGGCCACCCTCCAAGAGCTCCCGAAGGCCCGTGCCAGCAGTGCCTCCACCGTTCTGCCATTCCGCCAGGCACCCCTGCACCCTATAGGCTAAGGCTACCAAAAAGCAGGCCAAGGATGGCTTGTCCAGAAAACCTTCACGCCAAGGCTTTGCCAGCAGGCTGTGGATCTTCTGAATTGGCAGCGGCGATAGAGTACTGCAGAACCATCTTCGTTGGACAAAAGAAGGGAGCTTTGATGCATATAGAGACCAAGAGAAACATACGGATCCTCGGCACCTCTCTCCGGCCTCGCCTGACAGTGCCAGTGGCCACACATGTTGCCGCCGTCACGGCTTGCAGCCCCTTCACTGCCTTGCGGTCGTCGGTGCGCAGGCCGCTCTCGTGCGCCGTAAGGGTCTTCAACAGGTCCTTGACATGGGGAGGCTGAGGGTAAACCCATGGGGACTGAGGGTAAACCCCTTGCGGACTTGGCCTGAGTATGTTTAAACACCTGTTTAAACATCCTCCTCTTGGATCCCCCCTCCGATTGTGCGCGTGGGCCCTGGGCCCGGTTGCTCAAGCACGTGTTGCTCCATCCGCACGAGTAGCCACAGTGGGCAAGAGAACGGAGGAAACGCATTGGCTGGTTCCTGGAGAGAGGAAAGCACTTCCCACTTGCACAACGTTCTATAATGAACAGGTCTTGTCGTTTGGGTCCACTTCATGGGCACCGTCTTCGTGAGCGGCGCTGGAAAAAGAGCCCGGCTCCGCGTGGCCCAATGCGTGGCCTGTCCCGATACTTTCACACCGCGATGAACAACTGCCCGTGATTCTGGCCTGTCAGCCAACCAACGTATGGCCAAGGGGACTCCCTTTATTTGACCCCCTGATCCTGGCTGCCCTGAAAAAGACACTACACAAGCTATTGCAGGTACTGCAGCCAACATGCAGAAGCTACTTCCCTTCACATTATGTCCAAAGTCGCCGTTCAGTTTGTCTAATTGACTTAAAAAGCTCAGAAAGGGCAACCTGCAAGGCCGGATGCACAACGGAGTGATCCAAGCCACTTCCAGCACCGGAAAATGAAAAACTGCAGTACTTGTGATTTTCCTATTACAGTCCTAGGGACTGGACTGAACCAATCCTGGGGGCCCCAAAGCCAGTTTTCCGGACCTTGTCAACCTTGACACTAAGGGGGGCGGGGGGTCCCGGATGAATACAGTACATTAATTCCAGTAAACCCGTGGCTTGCCTGGCCTCTCGCGAGGCTGTGTTCCGGGCTGTCCCAACATGCTTCGGACTGTCAAAATGCGCAGGACTCGCCGCCCTGGCAAGATTCCAGGTTGTCCAAAGCCGACAGAACGACAAGCCCATGCTACCACACAGCTGGCCCCCATCGGCTCCTTGACATAGTGCTGGCAATTGGAGCCCAGCAGGCCATAGGACCGGATCTCCCTGAGTTGCATGGCACACCCTAAGAAAAATCGGCCACACGTCCGTCCTCTTGAGCTCTCTCTCGCTGTCTTGGGCGGGAGCCTCCCATCAGCCAGTAGAAGCAAGTCTTTACCGCATGTTCCCCAAGCATATTCCACAGCGGCACACTATTATGATGAGAGAAAGAGCCTGGTCGGTTGATGCCGATGCACGAGCCGTGTTGATTGCGGCACCGGCTGTCCTCAAAATCCTGTGGGGGAGGGTGGTGTGCTGCGAAACGTGTGACGCGGAGACCTCTGCTTTGAAAGTCTGCCGTGGCTGCGGCACGTTCTAATTTGGCAAGCGTTGGACCTGCACTTGGCTGGATTCGTTGATATGAGAAACGAGCCCTCTCTGGACTGTCGGTGCATCGGAACGACTGTCGGTGTGTTGCATCGCTCTCGCTGTGGGCAGGTTTTCAACACAGAACGCAAGCCCTCTGCCGACTCTGGATCTGTCACTTGCTCTCGCCTTTTCGCGGTGCAGACAAATGATGCTAGCGCAGCGAACCCTTCGCGGAAGTACTGCGTCGCTGTGTCCTGATACAAAGTTTGCTATCTCACATGAGACTTTGTTCAGAGATGTTGCAGGAATCTTGCAAGAGCACACTTCTCCGAAGCACTGTTGCGCGCAAATATTGTGCTGTCACACATGTTCTCCAAATAAACCATCCGCACAAATCTCGCACGGAGACATGTCAAATGTGCTGCTGCCGGAATGCAGCTAAACCAAGGCTTGCCGAACAAACAAGGAAGAAGCATCCAAGTCACAGCTCGTTCTCATGGACCACTGTCACAATGACTAGTTACTTCTTGCCTCAGGATATGGGACCATTTGTGAGTCCCCCGGTTTGAGACGTTCAGAGCTTCTTCTTTTTCCCCCCCCAAGTCCCAAGCGCATCACCGAGCCGGGGCCCCGCGCTCTGCCACCTTCACCGCCTGCTGCGCCAGGCTCTCCAGCGTGTAGGGCGGCAAAGGCGGCAAAGGCCGCAGGCGCCGAGACTGCAGGCTAACCACCGAGAGACGCGGGAAGATCCTGAGCTCCGGTTGGAATCGGTTGGACAGCACTCGAGCAAATGAAAATGCACGAAACTGACTTCCCCCCCCAAAAAAAAGGAAAAGATATTTCAACCAATGGAAATCCACAAAACTGAATTGTTGAGTGGAATCCAGTAAAATTCCAACCAAGCAGTCAAACAACACCTACAGCATGAGGAGCCTGAGGACTAAGGGCTGTCAGACGGCAAGGGGTGGCATGGACCGACTTTGAGACTCACAGGTTCAATTGTTGTGGAGTGGAGAATGCTGGATCAGGTACGACGTTCCAAACATCCTGATTGATGACAGTCGTAAACTCAGTCCGGAGTTGATTTCCAGGGACCATGCAACACCGTGCTGGGTTGATTTGAGCTCAGCTGCATGGTGTCTTGTCGCAGCAGCTCAATCACAAAGCCCACCTCCTTCCGACGGAAGGACCCGGCCCGCATGAAGCCTGGCCCACACAAGTGTTGCATGCCTGGCCCTTTTCCTCAAGTAAATCTGTCTTCAACGGGGGGTCTGTGCACTATGTTGGCAAAAGCGGACTAGGGAATGTGGCAGACCGACCCAGCACAAACAAACACGTTCTTGCCTGGGGCCATCTTTGTTAGCCCCTTGCACTTTACGCTTGCCCGCTGCTCAAGAAATCATGCATAAGCTTGACACAAACATCTTCATGATGCGGGACGCGCATGCAACGCAGCACCCTTCCATCATCATCAGCCCGCCTAGTCCATGAACCTCATCTGCAGGCTGGTTCCGAAACAAACCTCACGAGGCCAGGTGGGCCATCAGTTCTAGCAGCGAAAACGGTTTCAACCTGAACATCGTAACGTCGGCGCTACAGACATTGCAGGCTCGCCCGCCAAAGGAACAAGTTGGAAGATTTGGCAGCGTCAGTTGCAAGCACGTTGCTCTGCTCAAGTGGGCTGAGAGCGGCTGAAGTGCGCGACATTAAAAGACACGCTCATGTTGGGAGCGGTCTTCTTTCGTCACAGGCGCCGAGGGGGATCTGCAAGGGCCGGCCCTCCTCTAGCTGTGGCGAAAGCACCAGGGCCTGAGCTGAGCGAAATGGCGACGACGTTGCATTTGCGGAATCAATTCATCTCACAGATTGCCTGCAGTAAAACATTGGCAAACCCATGCTGGGACAGCACGGGAATGTCATCCCGCCGCGAAACTGCTGCCAGGCAGCCCAGTGTTTCGCCCATGAGCCAGTAACGAGCAGATGGCACTGCCAGGGAATCTCCTGGCAAGTTTGCTACGTGCTTGGACCTTCTTATTGGGCCTGTGTCATTTGCAAAAGCCTCAAAAGTGTGCAGACAGCAAACTGAAATGTGTTCAGGGGCCTCCCAGCAGCGTGAACCAAAACCTTCCACAAGATTACATAGATCATGCTTGGCCATTGCTCAACACTTGGGACCCGGGGCTGCCTCACAAAGACCATAACAAGCAACTACCCATGTGCGCGGTCTGCACTGTGTACGAGGTATCCCGATGGAGGGGTGTGGAAGGCGAGTCAAAGCCTTATTTGGCTATGCCAAGGCTTGTCGATACTGTCTTAGCCCCCCCGGCCTTTGTGCAAGGGACGTAGTGGGGGGGGGGGGGCGGGGGGCGGGGGTATTTTTCAAACGACGTAAGGCAGGGGTCATTTTATTTTGTTCAGGTAGGGGGGATCCGTCTTACAAATGAAATTCACGTGGCATGGCTGAAAGGCCTGTGGTCAGGTCTCCTCTGCCAGAACTGGGTTTGCCGCAGCCAGGTCTACGGCTATGCTGAGGACGCGGTCCAGCCGATCATTCGGCACCTCAACCACAGAGCCAAAGCATCTAGCCGGTAAAATCAGGCCACAGGGAACCGCCCGTCCAACATATTGTCTTTGCTGTCTTTCGGGGCCAAATGAGCACTACTGTGAGGTGGGAAATCGTGGTTCCGAACCGCAAGACCGACGGATTGCCCGCAAGGAGCAGAGATCCAACCTCCCCTCCGCACCCTTTCCTTGCCTCTCCATGGCTCGCAAGCGTACCCACGTCACTCTCCAGCCACGACATGGCCCGCCCCTCGTGGCAGACTGGAAAAATGATGTCACATCGACCCATCCTGCCACTCGTACATGTAGCAAAAACAGGCAAAACACAAGTAAATAATTCAAATAAACGTCCCAGCGTGAAGATTCCGATAAAACGCATGCGATGTAGCCCCTTGCAACAGCTCAAAAAGCCAGACTGCGGCACTCCACCTTGGCTTGAGCTGAAGACCCTCTGGCAAAGCAATTTTCAGCTATTAGACATCAAAGGCTGAATCCAAGGCATGCCATTAAAAAACAAAAATGATTTAAGGTCCAAAAGCCGACACTTGCAGAAACCGTGTTGTTGTTTTCTCTAAAGCTGGTCAGCGGCGCATGGCTTCACGGGTTTTTCAGGGAAGCCATGCGCCTTCAGGCAATTGCCAGGAAGCACCCTGAAAATCCCTGAAGCAAAAGCACCCAATGCTTTGTCAGCACGCGCTGGTTTTAGCTCCTCGCCGGAATGCACGCACAGTCGCACCGGGCCGGCCGGGCTCGAGAACGGGGGCCTTTTTTATGGCCGAGCCTATCAAGGCAGGGCTGGCCTCGGAACAGCCATGCGCCAATGGAAAGCGGTAGCCTTGCAATCCACATGAATGTTCTCTGCCGACCAAATTAGACACATCGGTCATTTGCGGGATGGAGCATGTCATGAGTTGAAGGGTAGGCTTGGAAAGCCACTCATGTCCGACTCGACCCGCCATGGAAGAAGAACACCTTCTGATGACCCCCAAATCCTAAGACCACACACATGCCCTCAACAGCGTGCAGGGTGCCGCTATTCAATTGAGCTGCCTGCCAAGTCTTACTCCACGTCGTCCACATCATCACCTTCCGGGTCCAAGAACACAATGGAGGTCTCGTCCTTTGCGATCCTCAATGCCCACATGCCCAGGGCAACACAGACTGTCACTGAACAAAACCCGAAAACTGCATCCCGTGGGTGCCGCACGGCTGTTGAAAGCGGGATGAGTTGGAAACAGGCTGCAAATTGGCAAAGCACCACGCATGAGATCTGCTTTCACACTTCTCAGAAGGGCCAACGAGCAACCCCCCCCTCTCCCTTGTGCATCTCGCATATTAGCTTCGTAGTCCAGTGGGATTAAAACCATTTAAAACAAAAGCCCGCCGCATGTGCGTTCAATGTCCCATGCCTAGTGACAACCATTTCAAATCAAGTGTCTTGATCTTGTGAAATGTGCACGCGTCGTTTATCCTGAGATTGATCTCATCTGCGATCGCCTCCACTGCGTCCTGCGAGTTCAGCATGTGTCCCGAAAGTTCCCAAAACATCAAGCAGAATCACTCGGCAGGGCTGGCCTCACACCCCTTCTTTCCAAAAGGGCTCGAAAACAATCGGGCACTTGCATCCGCGGTTGTTTGTCCAGCAGGCCCACCAAGATTAATCAGCTCAGTGACATTCCTGATCTCATATCACATCAACACAATGCACACACACACACACATTTGATATTGCCCTTGTGTGGAATGCTTGTCTCCCCAATGCCTGCACGCAACGCCATGTGCAAAACGTCTACCAAGCAAAGACGTCTCTCCCTGTTGTTCAAAAAAGATTCATGTGTCCAGCTTTTTAATAGGCAATTGCGCATACTGCGCATGTTCTTAAGGGAAACCACATGGGCCGTCGTCGCACTGTTCGCCACGGGTGTCACCAGCCGCACCAAGCTGTGGGTCTCCTCAGGACCCGAAACCAGCTCCGCGAAGGTGTGCAGCTTCACCACCTCGGAGATGTCAACGCTGGCCTCCTGTCAGCTGCCAATTTGGATGGGCAGGGATTTGACGAATGAGGAGTTACCCTCCCTATGAAACATGGAACCTGACACCACAAATTCGGAATGCTTCCCGGGGGATAAGAAACTATTTTTGGGGCTGTCAATGCCTGAGCTTGTTGCATCCAACCTGCTCCATACCCCAGTCCCAGCAGCTCTTCTCTAAGTTCTACTAGGAAGAGCTGACTAAGGTCCCAAGCAGCCAAATTCTTCATGACGCTCTTTACTACAGCTGCCACCAAGCCAAATCGTCAAGGGGCGGTCCAGAGAACACCCGAAAAAGTAATCATATGGTTTGCTTAAGGGTAGGGAATGGAAATAAGGCTTTGCACCCACTCTGCGGTTCTAAGTTGCCCAAAAGCTACCAAGAAGAGCTCAGCGACTGAGGCCCACAGCCCAATTATGTATGCCACCCAGCCAAATTGTCATCGTGGTGCAGGGTGTCGTGTAATAGTAGGGAAGAAAGCAACCAAGTCTTGCAGCCAGGGCCCGCTAAGGAAGACTAAACCATTTTTAAACCAATTCTGCAAAGTACTGAGCCAGACACAAGAATACTAAACAAATGCTAAACCGATACTAAGCAGTACTTGCGGGAAGACAACTTGCCCAGTATGAGTGGGCCCTTTACGATTCCCCCCCCACAACAAATGAAGCAGTAGATCTACAAGGCGACTTGCTTCAATTTTGGTCGTCTTTGCCATGTTGTTCGCGGTGAGCCCGTCCTTCTCCAGGAAACCCCGTCCATAGTCCTTGCCTCGTGGAGCGACATAGCATTGCGGGGGTGTGAGGTTAGCACCCAAAGCTTGCCTGCATTCTGAACACCGGCCCATCCTATTATACTCAGCAGACCTTTCAAACACCTCCACAAAGCCTCCAAACGTCCACTTGCGTGGTTGACTTTACACACAACGTGCCTGCATGTGTGCCTTCATGTTTGCTTGGCTGCTGCCGACTGATGAGCAGCAGCAAACTACAGCTCAAACAACAACCTGAAGAAAGGTGGGAACAACACAGATCCTTTGCATTGAGCCTTGTATCTTCCGAGCACAAACCGATTCGTGCCCCAGCGGCTTGGCACTGCGTGCGCAACACCATGCCATCTCTGTGGCAAAAGCATCAGGCCCTATTCGCACGTAGAAGGGCAACCAACCGCTTGGCCAGCAACCAGGAAACGACGCAAGGGCAGCGATTTGTCTTCACTTTACAGGCTGACTAAACCGAGCAGCCGAACTTGTAGTAGATCTCTGGAACCCAGTGAACCTTCGGCTGCATTCGGCAAACCAGCCGCACCTCCACATCTCTGTTATCCTGAGCATGCGAGCCCATGGCAACACCCTAAGAAAGGTGTGGAGAAAAATCGGCTTCAACTCAATCTGAGTCACACAAGCCAGTGGCAAGTGCAGTAGACACAAACTAGTTGCGCGATTGACGCTGGAACCCTACTGCCCAGCTCTTATCCAGTTGCCCCAGCCTTGGTTTTGAACTCCTTGATGAAGCGTTTCTTCACCGGGATCAAGCGGATGTGGATGCACCGGTGCCAAAACGGGATGGCCAGGACCATTTGACTGTCGTCATAAATGTACGGCTGCAAGTTGCCCTGCCAGTCCTGCGGACCGGGCGATGCAAAGGACTCGAAGTTAAGCCGCAGCTTTGGGCGCTTCTCGAAAGGCATGCCCACTTTTGATGCTCCTTGATTAAGGGAGACGGTTATCCTCCTAAACTTCAGGCAAGCTGATCCCCTGCTTTCTTCGCCATTTTTCTCGGGGAGGGGTCAACAATGGCCAAGCCACTTCCGCCCGTTGGACTGTGGCGTCCTCGATGAGCGCCACGTGGCCGGGGGTCACCCGCTTCATGGAGAAAAGCGCCAGGACCCCAAAGGTCATGCCTCCTCCGAGTTCGGTTGTAGCGAGTCAGATTTGGGGAACGTCCAGCTGTCACCCCTGGGACTAAAATGCCAAACCCCGGAACTGATGAGCTTCACTCATCAACTCACACCACAGCTACGAAAGAAGAGTGCTTTTAGCGGAAAAAGGAGGCACGTCAAGGAATACTCTTAGACTATTGTGTTTGTTTGGCCAGAAAGCATGATTCATACTCTTTTCTCATGTCTATGTGTTTCTGGTCAGTGTATGCTCACGCCTGTGTCAAAGCCCGTTTCGTGCAAAAGGCTAGAATGATGCATGCAATCATACATATGCATAAAGTTATGTTCTGTGCAGATATGCAACGCACATATACATGTGCGTGTGTGTGCGTGTGTGTGTGTACATGCACAGGTGACTAACTATGCTTAGTAGCATGGTGCCGAAGTACAAGCACAATGATGCTGTTCCAGCTGCTTCATGATGGAGCTCCCTTTCTTCACCAGGCTGCTGCCACAAGGAGTCTGCTGCTGTTAGGATGCGTTTGCCAAGGTGTCTTCCCTTCGAAGAAGCGGGTTTCTTAGCCTCAGGCTTACATCATGCACCCACCCACACAAACACCTGCGCTGAACAACTGCGCTGGCCAAATGATACCAATTGCTCATCATTCTCTGCAAATCCGGTTGACAGTGATTACCCCTCCGTGATTTGCTGCCAACACCCCACAGTCTCGTCGCTCGGACCGCTCCGGTAAAGCGGGCCAAGTTCTTCTGATTCTCGACCTTCCCCAGCCAGGCGGCAATGCGCCCCATTCGCCCGCTCATGGCGATCTCTGCGCGCGCTTGCCAGCGCTCGCTCACCGCACAGCCGCTGCCAAAAAGTGCAAGCGTGAGCCTGTGTCATAAACAGCCATCTCGCCCAAGGCTCTAGGTCGAACAAGTCTTAAGAAGCTTGTTCGGTGGATGGGTGGGCTCAATAAGCTTGGATTGGAGGCAGCGGCCAACTCTTCGGGGCCTTTGGGGTCTCGCTTGGCAATCTATCGGGTTCCAAGACCAAATGCTGCCCAAACCGAATCTGGCTGGGTGAGCTTCTTCGGGAACCTTTGCACGCGTTGTGTCGGCACTTGTGGCTGTCGTATCAGCGATGTCTGCTTTGGCAACTGCGCCGTTTGGGCCTTCAGCGGATAGACACGGCCATGAGGCACATGAGGAAGCGCTGCCAATATATACATATATATATATATATCATATCGAGACTATTTAAATCACCTTGGCCTCAGGCGAGTGACTGTGGCGCTTCCCTAAGCTGTCATTTCAATGGGCATGGCGTTGCAATCACAGCAAGCCGTCGCAGACACAAGCAACCAACTGGGCAAAGGTCACACACCAAAACGGGGCAGCGGAACCAAAGCTTCCAACTTCAACTGCAATAAGCCTTAGGAGCCCATGCACAAGGGCATGCCTTGAAAGCCCTGAGAACTAGCTTGCTGGCTGTTTGCCGAGCGCTAACAAGTCACATGGTCCATGGTGGCAGCCAATCAGCTCTGCTAGGGTGCCTCGTCAGATTGCAAGGCTGGTCCCTTGTGTCAAACATATGCAATGCTCATCTTAGTTGGATCGGTGCATTCTAGATGTGCTGTGGCTTGGTTGATGCGAAAGCCGTGTAGTGCCCGTTCAGGCATGTCTTTCGCTGGAATCAATGTTTGTAGCATGACGAATGTGTGTGTGTGTAGCAGGGCCTTTTGCGGGGTGATCATCATGATGAGAGCAGGCAAGCTGGATACGTCTCAAATTTGCAGGAACATGAATCCCTAAATCTGTAGAAGTTTTCAGAATTTCGGAACATGGTGGATTTTGGTTGCTGTCGGTGTTCCCGTGTCACCGCCGCCAGCTTGCCTTTCCGACGGGTCAACTTCCGACGGGTCCGACTTCGCTCAACACTCGGTGCGCGCCGGGATGCGGCCGAGGCCGAGGTCCTGAGGGCTGCAGGAAACGAGTCCGGGTAAATCATGCGCATGAGGTGCTTGGCTCGTTGGCAATTGAGCGCCGAAGAGAGAAACATGTTGCTTTGTCCAAGGATTCGGCAAACTCTTCACTTCGCCGAACAGAACAAAGCACACTAGGTGCAAAAGGCTGGCGTCAAGAGCAAATTCCCCAACGGCAGGCCGGTATTCAAGTTGGGATTGGTAGCCGCAACCCGGCACTGTCATGGTCTTTGCCAATTCTCTCTCCGGAGCTGGTCGCAAGCAGCCTTTTGACTAGCGAACATAGGCTGACATGTGCTTCGTGTTGCTGCCGGGGAATTGCATCGACAACATTGCGTGCTCAGTGCGTGCTGGGAGCAGGAGCAGCCCCAGGATGAGATGAAATTTGTTTGCGGGAACTCGGCAATTGAGCTAATCCTTGAGGGTCTGCAATGCAGAATATTCTAAACACATGAAAGGGGGATGCCAAATAATGGCACCCCTAGCTATACAACACAGCCAAGGCATGCAAAACAGCTTGCAGAAACAAGCAGGCAGAGTGGCGGAACAGTACGACAAACAACTTTGTGTGCCAACCACAGGAGGAAGCACAAGAGGCCAAACAAATCAAAATAGTCGGTAGACATAACACCCCACGTCAACGATGTCCGCCACAGGGTTCTCCAGCGATCAAAGAAATGGACACCCACCCACCGAGTGCCTGCAGCCGCAAGGTCTCCTGCAGCACCTGGCCGGGAAAGCCTCACTGTTGCTCCCAAATTCGAGAAGCACATCGATTCATGGACGAAAACATGAGGGGCACTGCCCCAGGTTCCTTGACTTGATCAGGGAGCAACTCGGCTGGCAATATCCAGCTGGCAAGTCAACTCAAGAGGAGTTTGCAACTGATCTGCTGGCTTGGAGGGAGCGCGTGCATGCTGGCCTTACCCCAAGCGCAGTCAAATGGCTTGCATTTCAAGGTCTGGGGGGGCGGGGAACGGGAACATGTGTCTGATTGGTTGGTGCCAAACAAGCGTCTGAATTTCCTTTTTTCCCACCGAAAGTCCAAGGCTGGGGAAGTGGTACCTTGCCTTCCTCATCCGTTTCACAGAACTACGCCGAAGCGCATGTCAGCGCCAAACGGCATGGCAGCTTGATGGGCAAAGCCCTGCATGAATGATTCTGGCCGTCTCTGATAAAATCGCAACCCTTTCGCTCAACTGGAAAGTTCATCAGCTCGTTGCCATCATATAACACAGGCAACGCAGGCCCTTTGCAGAGAGCTGCAGGCTTCCGCAGCTCCATTTCGAATTCGGTGTGAGGCTTCCCAGGCCGCTGCCAAGTGGGTGATCATGCTTCGCCCAACTACTCGTCTAACATGTGAAGAAAAACTCACCATTGGACTCTTGAAGTCGAAATGCCCCAGCTCTCCCTGCACAAGCCGCTCCTTATTTTTACCACATTAAAGGACAAACCAGCTTTGTGTCAACCCGAGCCCCCTCATGCCCAGGAAGCCCTTCCAAAACAAAGCCGGCACCTGGTCCTCCGACGTGTCCAACACCTGGCACACGCAATCTGAGCCCAAGCATCCATCACATTGGCTTAAGAGATTACGCGGGACGTGGGCATGTCTGTTTGGCGGGCAAGGCCGCGCCAACACTTCACCATTTTGCGCTAAGCCTATTGTTCTGGATGTGTCACTGCAAGCCCAAGAATGCACATCTGTCGATCCGGATGGGTCATATTCGCCAAGCTTTCGTTGTGATCTTCCCAACCCTCTCCAACGAACCATGTCGTGATCGTGCACGAGCACTGTCGTCGGTAGCTTGGCCTTCAGGGATCAGCCCCGCTGCAATCAACCGAGCCTGAACACGCACACGTAAGCCACGCTTCACGCAGTGAGCCAGTTGATTGGGGGTAGGCGTGACCGGGTCCTTTGCTCTGAAGGGGCAGCCGCAAGCGTGGCTGAGAGCCGGGCCTAACTGCCCACTGGGGCTCCCCAGTGCCAATTTAGACTCAGCCTCGAAGCTCAGGCATCCCAGCTCTTTGGTTGGCGAGCCCCTGCCACTCGAGTTCAAGTTCCTGGCAATCACTTTGTGCCGCGGCCCGTGCACTAGGCTGCTCAGCCTAGCCGCCATCATTGGCTCGAGCCCGCATTGCTCTTACGGCTATTTTGAGCCTGGCCGAGGCGTGCAGCGCGGCAAACACGACCCAGGCCGTGACCAAACGCCAAGATACGCCAAGAAAGAATAAGCAGTCCAGGGCAGAAGTACATTGGAAGCCCGGGCGCATCCACAAATATGTTCACCATCAACCTTCCCATCTGACCGTTGCGGCTGCCACCATAGCTTTCATGCCTCGACGCGCGGGTGTACAGAGTTGAACACCCATTTTCCTCTGAGCTTCTTGGAGCGGCTCTCTCACGCTACATGGCTTGCTGTTTGCCGGATCTTGGCCAACTCGAGTCCTGGCCCCTTCATGACACCGCTGCCGATGTCACACGCATTTGCTTCTAGTTGAAGTGAAGCAAGTAATTGAGGGAGGGTTTTGCCCTTCCGGCTTGGCCTAGCTGAGCCATGACGTCTGCCTTTGGCCATCATTTCATGCTTGCTCCTTTCCTTGCGACTCTTTGCTCCGTCCTCGTCCTCATGGCAAGCGGACAGGCTGCCCAAGCCGTGAAGGTCGGACGACCTCAGTCTGGCAACGCCAAGGGTAAAGCCAAGAGTCTCCAATGCTTCGAGGCCACATTCCCTTATTGCGATTTTGGCTGTCATTCCAGTAGAACTCCAAAATACCATGGTTCTCCCACCAAGCCTTGACAGACCAAAGGTGGCCCCGCCGCGCGGTGTCTTTCACCATTCCCCGCAGGATTCACGGCGCTCAGTCGCGAACCTTGGCGGCTGCTGCTGGCAAACTGGGGGCGTGCGTGGCCGTGCTGCCTTAGTCCCGTGCAGCTCACCTTCCAGCCCCCCTCAGAGACTTTGCGAATGCTTTGGAGCATGGCAACAGGCCGACAAACCCCAGCACAACTAGGGCACATTAGCTTTCAAGCCGCTTC